AAGAGTTTTTGATATATATTGGATCTCTATACGCATAAGTGCTGTGATAAAGGGTCACACAAATACATACCTAAACCACCTAAAGATTTTCATCAGTCCCTGGGCAACACTAAAATTTGTCACTTGAAGTTACCAAACAAATGGATTAGCTACACCAACTCCAATGAGAGATATAGTTTTTTAAAAATATTTTTCTATCTTATGGGTTAGAAGTAAAATATCAAGAGCAAACCTTTAATCTGAAGCACTATCTGATACAATTTATTAAGCTACTGGTGGCATAAATTGAGACGCATTATAGCCTTTGAATAATTAACATTAGGACTATAGGTAATAAATTTTATTGTTTTTGGAATTTATGCTAAATCAGTAAGTTTAGCTGCTCCTGTAATAAAAACTAAAAATTAGAGTTATAGATGAGACAGTGGTTATGTTAATATACATCTTTCAGTAACTTTTTTATCTATATGTATAACTTATTGTGACATTGAGCACTTTAATATACAAGGGAAATTTATCTCAAAAAAAAGGAAATGCTGTAGAGAATAGGCAATGTTTCCATATTGCAGTGACCATAACTTTATCTTCTTCCCAACTTTGTGATGACCAAAATGACTACAGATTGATAACAAGCTTATTTTTTAAATATAAATGTAAACTGAAATTTATTATACAAATACATCTTTAAGTTCATAATTAAAATATTGAAGTGATTACAAATTTAGAAGCATGCTTTGCCAAAAAACACATTTTTGTCACTTTCTTCATCACAATTAAGGTAAGATATCCAAAAAGAAAAATTGCTCATTAACTTTTGACTAATATCACAAAAACATGCTTACAGCTGGGTTTAATATGACTTCCTAAAAGCACTGTCTGGTTTCATCAATCAATTTCTCTCTAACAAAACTGTTCATTGATGGTGTCATTAGATAAACACAATATTACATGCCATGAAAATACCCTGAACTTATAATGCATAGACATTGACCTAATGAAAAGAAGAAGTAACCTAAAATAATGTGCATAATGCAGGTCCATAAATCTCCCATGCAGATAAAATAATGTACAATACAATTCATGAACTCCTCTTTTACTCCCAGAAATCAGAGTATTAAGTACATTTCTTCTAAGAATACGGGTGATAAACATAAAAAGTATCTTATTTTACTGCTTTGAAAAAGATAAACCACTTACTTCTAAGTTCTATTTCAATCCAAATTCAGATAAAATTGTAAGATAAGTTTAGTTCCACCTTCACTTGTAACATGCAAAAACCTGTGCCTTGTATTAGTCATCCAAAATTCTTTATTAGATTGATTATAATCTCAAAGAATGATTTAAATTTACTTTTTGAGGGTTGTGAAAAAAGAGGGGCATCCCTAAAAAATTCATTGTGAAATCTACATCATCCTTTAGGATGATTTCCAACCTGTTTGTTGCCTTAGAATCAGCATAGAAATATTCCTATCCTATCTGTAGTTAACTTTTTATACCAGTTTTCCCCCAGAATTTTAATCTGTGAGTTTCTCAAGATGTGTACTAAAATATTCAGCATAGGAGAAAAAACCATATAAAAACTGTCATATGTTTATCAATTGGAAATTTGGAAACAGATTAAGCATACATAAAAATTCAGGGACCATAAAGAACACAATGACAGTGATGTAGAAGCTACCAGTTAACAGAGCTTTGTCTCTTCCTTTCTGACTATGAATCTTAAGAGAGTTTAGGATGATGAAACAAAAAAATTAGGATATGGATAAAAACTACCATATAGATTGCTCTTCAATTGGCATCAAGAATGAGGACTGTAGTGTCAGTGTCAGTACACACAAGTTCCCAAAAGGGTTACATGTCATAGGCAAAGTGGTTAATGACATTGGGCTGCAGAAATGGAGACTGTACTTTTCTCACAGCATAAAGCTATAACCAACTCCAGTTAGATGGCAATGGAATAAGAAGTACTCATGAGTGACAGGCAAGGAAGAAGAACACTGGGGAGCTCAAAAAGGGCTGGTCATAAAAGTCACTGTAATGAGCCGGTCGCCTAACTTGTAGATAAGTAAAAACATCACAATACTTTCCTCCCATCAGGAGAAAAAGTGAGACCACAGAGAATAATTAAATTATAACATTTGTATAAAGTTGATGCAACTGGACATCATCATGTCAAATTAAATAAGCCAGACACAACAACACAGGTTTTCACTTACATGGGAGTACAGATAACTTTTTCAAATAAAAGTAATAGTAGAATTGGGACAATTTGGAAAGAGGAAAGGGAAAATGGGGATGGAGAATAGGGATAAAACAGAGTAATCTATGATACACTGTAAGACATTTTGTAAATGTCACAATGTGCCCCATTACAACAATAATAAAAAATAAATTAAAATTTGAAAAGACACAGTAATAATCTGGGAATGTTGGTTTACACCACTAATCTCACCTACTCAGGAATCAGAGGCAGGATGACTAAGAGCTCAATGCCAGCCCAGGCAAATTTATCAAGACCCTACCTCAGAAACAAGATATAAAAGCAAATAGGTGCAGTTGTCACTCAAGTGATAGGACACTTGCCTAGAATGCATGAGGCCCTGGGTTCAACCCTCAACACTACCAAAAACAAAAGAAAAGTAACAAAGTAAACCATGACCAAAGTATGTTATTCACTTGTATGGAAACATCATAATTAAACCCCTTTGTACAATCAACAAAGAAGAATCACTTCATCCAGTTAATATCTCTTTAAAATAAAATACCTTTAAAATAAAATAAAGGTATTGCAAACATGGTGGAAAAGAGAACGATAGTCAACAATATCAAAATAGATTACATCAGTGAAGGTAGAGAGCATAACCATATGTACTGAAAGCTGTTGAATAGTAGGAGATAGCAGGGAAAAGGCAAGGGAGAGTAAGAGGGGTCAAACTGATCAAAATAAGATATATTAACAAGCTGGAATACATCAAGAAACCCCTTTAGACACTGACTTTGAAATTAAAAATGAATAAATTGTCAAATAGATACAGTGAGGGAGAGATACTTGTAGGAGCAGCAAGGGTGAATGGAGGAGATGAAATTGAGGGAAAACAGTTAATGGACTTCATATCCATATGTGAAATAAAATGAAGAAACCTCCTGCAATTTCTTTAAGTGGAGTAGGGAGGTAATTGAGGAAGGGAGATTGAGGGCTATCTAACCAATGTACAATGTAAGGCTATTCACAATTGTCACAATGAATCCTCCCTGTACAATGAATATATGCTAATAAATATGAAAAATAAAGCATCATGCATACCTAACAATGGCCAAGGATAGACTATGTTCTCACCAGAAAAAATAGTTATGTGTAGTACTATTAATTCATATGAAAATTAGTTTCATTTAACCATTACACAAAGTACACATTTTCAAAACAACATATTGTTCATCATAAATATAAACAATTTTCATTTATCAATTTAAAAATAAAGGTATAAAAATTAAAAATGAAATTTCTATCCATCAAATGAAATAATATGCAAAAAAAGGTATGAATTCATAATATTTAAACAATGAAGTATTTGTAATACACAGTATTCCTAAATATTGCCAACACTTTAACAATAATGGTAGAACTGGGTAGGGTGGTTCACTTCTCTAGTGATAGATACACTGAAGACAGAGTTCAGGAGGAACACATTCTAAGAAAAGCCAATGGAATAAATTTATGAACACATCATCTCAACAAATAAGCCAGGCATGGTAGTGCTGTAATCAAGAACTAAAATCTGTTTTCATCATCAACCAAATCGCATATAACAAAACAGTTCATATCTATTATCTCAATTTGTTTTGATTTCTCTTGTTTTGTTTTGGGGTGGGTTTGGTTTGATTTGGTTTGGCTTGGTTTGGTTTGGTTTGGCTTGGTTTAGTTTTGTATACATGTTCTCCATATGCAGATCAGGCTGGCTTTGTCATCCCAATGCTCATGCACCAGCTTCCCAAGGGCCAGGATTATAAGTGTGAGACAGCCAATATCTTTAAACAAATAGAATACCATCTGTCGTCCAAAGTTCATGAAGTAAAAATGCATATGCCATGATTTAAAATTAAAAATAGTCTTATGACAAAATATATAATGTAGCCACACAGAGCTGATAAAGACATCAGAATTTAAAAATCACTTTTTGGTGCCAAAAATTCATCTAAGTATTAATAAATTATTTCCCACTAATTCAGAAGATTACTTTTTTAAAAGTATCTTCTTTCCTAGTCTTTAAACCAGTTTCATCTAAAGTCTCATTCAATATAAATTCAGAAAACATAAACCTTCAAGGTGAGGTTTATTTTTATATATACTAGGATAAATACCTCCAGCTTTAATTCATCTTCCAGTGTTCTCTATGAGATTGATATAAATTTCAAAAAATAATTTACTGTTTGAAAACTTTGTAAAAATAAAGGGAAGCCTTCTAGAGAATGCATTGAGTTGAAAACTCCATCTTTTGTTTGAGTTTACTGTATCTTTGCCTATTCAAAAATAATAGCAATTGTGCTCAGTATGAGACATACAATTTTATTCTACTTTGTACTTAACTTTCTACACCACAATTGTTTCATAGCATTTTTCATCTCTGAATTTCTCAAGGTATATATTAAAGGATTCATCATAGGGGTGATGACTGTAAAAACTACACTTATGAATTTATCAATGGGAAAGTTGTAAACAGGTCTAATATAAAGGAAAATACAGGGAACAAAAAAGAGGACAACAACTGTGATGTGTGAACTGCAGGTTGATAGAGCTTTGTGCCTCCCTTCTTGACTCTGAGTCTTAAGAGAGTTTAAGATGATTCCATAGGAGACTAAGAGAAGGATAAAAATGACCATACAGATTGCTCCACCATTAGCAATCACAGTGAGGCCTATGAAGTAGGTGTCAGTGCACGAAAGTTCCAACAAAGGGTACATGTCACAGACAAAGTGGTCAATGATATTGGGACCACAGTAAGGGAGACTGCACACAAAGACAATTTGAACAAAAGAGTGTGCAAAACCTCCAGCCCAGGCCGCCACCAATAGGAGGATGCAAACTCGTCTGTTCATGATTGTCAAATAGTGCAATGGCTTACATATGGCCACATAGCGATCATAGGCCATCATCACCAGAAGGAACACCTCAGCACCAGCAAATAAATGCTCTATAAAGAGCTGAACCATGCAAGCTGGGAAGGAAATAGTCTTTTCATCACACAGCAAGTCTATAATCAACTTTGGAGAAATTGCTGTGGAGTAAGCAGCATCCATAAGTGACAGATAGGCAAGGAAGAAGTACATAGGGGAGCCCAAGGAAGGGCTGGCAATGACAGTCACCACAATGAGCAGGTTGCCCACAATTGTCACAATGTAGATGAGTAAAAACATGACAAATAATGCTTTTTGATGATCAGGATCCTGAGTAAGGCCAAGGAGAACAAATTCCGTGACATTATTCCTGGGTCTCATTTTATAATACTTGCTTTAGAGATGAGAGTTCAGAAGAATTCCTGCTAGCAAATGGTGAAGAGGACCATGAATACATTTTTTTATGGAGCACATTCCATCAGCATTTTCTACACTGGTAAACCCACCTTCAATAATATCTGTTCAGTTCATCTTCTAAGGACTCCAACAGACCTTCCTTTGACTATTCTAATTCTCAAATGATTTTGTTTGTACCTAGAGATTAATGGTTCCATATATATAAATAGCTCATACAGAAGACTAGCTAAAATTAAGTTACTCACACATTTAATACCATCTTAATATATGTCATGCCTTGGAACAGCTATCATAAATTAGGAAGAGGGAATGGGTCACTGTTTTGAAGAAGCATCTGTAATGTTGGCAGTTAATTTTAAATATGAATGGACATAGAGTCAATTCTTTTATTATGTAGTATTCATGGGGAATAACTGTTTAGTATGATCCATGTAGCACCAAAATAAATTAATAAATAGATGTACATAAATAAATATCTATAAAAATTTCACTGAATTCAATGGCATCATACCCTAAAAAGTGATCAGTCTTTCATAGAATAATAACATAATATATTTTGAACCGAATCGTCAACTACTCAGCACACTGATACCTGGACCTATTACTTCTTAAGACTGTCAGCTTTTTTCAGGAATTATAATTCTGTCCATTGTGTCCTTGCCTTATTAATTCCATAACAGATAAATTTGTTATCTTGATTTTTAACAAATACATTTTAACTAAACTGAATGAACTCATGACTTTTAACAGCTATTCCATTAACAATACATTTATCTTTTTCTCAATAATTTGGTGTAAGCTAGGTAATAAGGCTGGAGAAAATACAAACTGAAATGTAAAATAGTGAATAGTGGGGCATGTTTTATATATCAGACGTCTTAAGACCTAGTGCTCAAAAAGCAGAACTTCAATTTGTACATTCCAAAACAGCATTGTCAAGGGAAAAGCCCACTTGTTTGAGTCATTTTCTAAAAGTAATTACTTAAGTGCTTCAGTTTGCACATAAAAAGATAAATGGATTTAGATAGATAATTTCAGATTACTTTCTACTCTATCTATATCACTATTTGTGAAAACCTACTTTTTTCTATTCTGATTATGACTTTTTATTTTTCACAATTTTTAGTAAAATAAGCAATTTCCAAGTTTATCCCAAAGAAAATACCCAAGCTAATGTTAAATGAAATTTGTTGACTACAGTGACCGAATAAAAACTCTCTCTTCCTCATTCAGTATACACTGAAACTGAACACAAGGCATCCCCCAAAAGTGAAAGCAGAACATTAGCATAGACTCTAGAGTCACACTGGTCCTGTTACACTCCCAGGTTCATTCACTTGGAAGGTATGTGACCTTATGTATGTTTTCATCAATTTTACATTGGAAAGCCAAGCATCTAACTCTTTGAGTTATTTTTTTATTACATGTAACATGACTATAGCACTTCTGTGCACCTGAAAAATGTAAATAATTAATAACTGATGTCAATGTTTTGAATGTTTCCCAGTGAACATTGCATCAGAATAAATTACCAGTATCTCTGTCAGTTTAATAGGAAGTAAAAATGTGCTTCAGAATATCAAGAATATTATACCTTTAACTCATAATGCCCCTCTGGAAGAAATGAAAGAATTATATCTCTTAGGAAATAATTGTTTCATTGAAAATATGGATAATATTTACCTCAGAAGAAATACATTTTACTGGAATCAGACAAGTGGGTTACATGTACCAGGATTTAGTACTGGAAAAGGACATAAGCAGAGAGATTCTGAGATGTCCTTACAATCCAACTGTGATGACCTTTCAACATCTCTCATTCACATTCTGCTTTCACATTCAGAAGATCAGTCATTCTGAAAGCTGCAGAGTGATAGAGGCACAACCTGGGGAAGAACATAGGACTACAAAGTAGTCTAGATACAATTCACTTCATGCTGTATCCTACATTCTGCTGCTTATTCTCCTCAATCAGGTTTTGATTAGGATACATATCCCATTGCCAAGTTTAATTATTTACATAATAGGCTAAAAGAAGAGGATTTGAGCTATTGTTTATAGTTTGTTTATTATAGTATTAAATCTTTAATAATACTATAAAAACTGACAATAGTATTATGGGACTTTCAACTAAAACTATTAAGTTAATATTTCTTTTTTTTTAAGTTAATATTTCTTTATCAAATAAACTAATAGAAGCCCTTAATACAGAGTTTTTTAATACATAACACAGTAATAACAAAAATCACATATAGTACTTTACAATAATAACTTTATGAATATCTGTAAGCTATAGTAAATAAAGTCCATCAACCAGGGTGGTTTTCTCTATGGATACTAACATGTCTGCTTGAATCATTTTAAAGTTACATATAGCATCCAGAACATAATAGACAGTTGTTTATTTACATGTTATCACAAATAGTTTGTTATGTAATATTGAATTTTCTTATTCAACTATATCCCAAGCAATTAAAACCCTTTGCTAACACATTATGCTATTATAATATCCCAGAAAACATGGTTATAAATTTATTTGCTTATTTATTACAGGTGTAAGATATATTAGCCATTATTTTGAAAAAAGAAAATAAACACCTATAAAGAGTACTACTAAACCTAACTATACTTTGTATGTTCTAACTAATTTCTGAGTTTATTAGCTTCATTCCCACAATTCAGATGCTGTTGGTGAGCATGCATGATTTATGACATTGATTATAGCTATCACAGGAATGTTTATCCTAGTATACACTATCATTTGTTTTATGAAGTCACATCTTGGATCTTGTCCTTGGCCTGGAAAATCATTGCTTCTTTCACTTGTTGCAATTAGATATTTTACTATGAGTGATCATAGAACACATGATTATGTAAAGTTGATGACTGGACATACAAATAGCTCCAACTGGCTACTATTTCCATAATTTCACATAGTCTTCCCTTTACCTCAATCTTTCAGAATAGTGTATCTTTAAATATAAAGATATTTAAGTAATAACATTTACTATGTAAAGATAGTTGAATATTCTCACCTGCTGGAAAATTCTCTCCTGGAAAAACAAAGATTCTATGTTTATATGGCTATGTAAAAATTGACCTAATTAGTGAAACCTAACATGGCCAATTACTTCAGCTTGGGCAGAATTTTAGTTTTCAAAAACCACTTGATTCATTCTACCAGGAAAATAATTCTTCCATTTATAAGTGTAAATACAATCTATGAGTTTTTACATCATCACTACTTTACATGAAGAGATTGTAAGGTTGTATTAGATTGGTTAATTAGAATAATTAGAAGAAATTCAAACAGAGTAATCTCTTGTGAACAGGTTTCTTGCTTTGAACAATCCCTAGATGAAAAATATTTGGATCTTGTAAAGAAAGATTAGCTGACTGCCAAATTACATGGCAGTATCTTAACTAATAATGTATTAGTTTCACTCTAGGAAATATGTAATTTAAATATGATATTTAAAATGGCCAAAAAAGGAAGCAGCCTCTGTCCCCTTCCTTAACCACATCCTTGCAAAGGACAGCCTTATGCTGACTGTGGGACAAATTCTGCCCAAGAACCTCTAAGGAGTAAGAAAAGAAGGCTTGTAACTGGAGTCTTCTATAGTTAATGTTGTAACTAGAGTCTCCTACAGCTGATATTCTAATTCTTGAAAAGACAAGTGATCACACCTTGCATTTTCAGTTGGAGTTGACACTTTCTACCAAGGCTTGAATTTGTGTCAGGTAGAATTGTAATTATTTTCATTCCACTAATTCAATCTCTTAATTACAATTATTAATCAAATATCTGTTTCTACAGAAGCACTGTTCTTCTAACAATCAGTCAGTAACAAGACAGGGCTTTCTGCTTTCTCCAGTCCTATTCAATATAGTTTTAGAATTCCTAGCCAGAGCAATAAGAAAAGAGCAAGAAATCAAAAGGATTCAAATAGGGAAGGGAGAAGTCAAACTATCCGTATTTGCAAATGACATGATCTTATACCTTTGCGACCCTAAAACTGTTACCAAAAAACTATTAGAAATCAGAAACTTTTTCAGCAATGTAGCAGGATACAAAATTTACAAACGTAAGTAGCCTACCAATATACCAACAATGAAATGATGGAGAAAGAAATCAGGGAAACAATCCCATTTACAATAGCCTCAAAAACAATAAAGTACCTTGGAATAAATTTAATGGGAGAAACCAAAGACCTTTTTAATGAAAACTATAAAGCATTGAAGAGACAAATTGAAGAAGACATCAGATGATAGAAAGACCTCCCATGGTCATTGATCAGCAGACTCAACATTGTGAAAATAAGAAATCTACGTGTTCAATGCTATATTTCAATCTTGAAATATATGTGGAAACACAAAAGACCTTGAATAGACAAAGAAATTCTGAGCAAAAAGTCCAATGCTAGAGGCATCACAATACCCAAAATCAAACCATACTACAAAGCCATAACAATAAAAACAGCATGGTATTGGCACAAAAAACAGACAGGAAGATCAATGGGTCAGAATAAAAGTTCCAGACATAAACTCAAACATCTATAGCCAATTGATCATCCACAAAGGAGCCAAAAACACACAATAGAGAAAAAACAGCCTCTTCAACAAATGCTGTTGGGAAAACAGGATATCCACATCTTTCTCCCTGTATCAAAATAAACTCAAAGTGGAAGAAAGACCTTAATATAAAGCCTGAAACTTCTAAACTCCAGGAAGCAGTAGGAAATTCACTGGAACAGATAGGTATAGGGAAAACTTTCTAAACAGAATTCAAAAGGCTCAGCATCTAAGAGAAAGAATGAAAAAATGGGACTGTGTCAAATGAAAGAGCTTCTGCTCAGCAAAGGAAATAGTCACCAGAATGGGAGACAGTTCACAGAATGGGAGAAATTCTTTGCTAGCTACTCATCTGATGAGGGACTAATATCCAGAATCTATAGAGAATTAAG